GTAGAGTCGAGTGGTCCGTATGCGGAGCTTGTTGGCTGCCTCATGTACCTGATGACCTGCACACGACCTGACCTTGCATACCTCCTGAGCATTCTTGCACGCTATGTTGCTCCTGGGAGACACAGACCGGAGCACATGGCTGCAGCGAAGAGGGTATTGCGCTACCTGTGCAGTACGTCAGGCAATGGGGCTAGTGCTTGGAGGGCGGAGTCCAGTGGTCCTTACCGGCCACGCGGACGCTTCTTGGGCTGACGACCAGGCTACGCAGCGGTCGTCACAGGGTTACACCTTCAGCCTTGGTTCCGGCTCTGTCTCGTGGCGGTCTACTCGCTCGTCTTCGGTTTCTCGGCTCCAGTTGTGAGGCTGAGATCTACGCCGGGGCCATGGCTGCACAGGAGCTTCGCTGGCTCACCTACCTGCTGACTGACCTTTGGAGAGCCGCCTTCGTTCTCCTCCAGTGCTGTACGTAGACAACAAGGCTATGCTGGCCTTGTGTCTGAGAGCAGCGCTTGGAGCACAGAACGAAGCACATTGCTCTCCGCTACTTCCTTGCTCGTGAGCTGCAGCAGCGTGGTCAGTTGCGACTTGCGTACGTGGCCTCTGAGGCCAACACTGCTGATGTGTTCACCAAGGCACTTGCGCCTTGTGACCATCAGCGCTTCTGCACCCAGCTGGGTCTTGTGCCTGTCTTGCCTCACTTGCTCTCCTCTTGACTTCACTTGTACTGTGACATATATATATACCTGCTCTTGCTTGTCTAGCTTTATATATATGTCTGTACTCTTGCTTGTGAACTGGCCTTTGGCCTTGCTCTTGTGCTCGGACTGTGTGGTGACTTTGTGATCCACCCTGAGCTTTGCTTTGTCTTGCTTGACTGGTCTTGTGACCCCTTGTTCTCCCCCACTTTGCCTATGGGGGTGTGTCAGAACATATCTATAGCTTATACTGCTGTGTAGGCTGTAGTGGGGTATCCCATAGGGGGTACAACCCAGTTAGGGTTTCATATTTGTACTACTTTCATTCATAGTTCATTCATTCCTGTTTTCCTATCTTCACACTTATATCCGCTCCTCGATTATAAGCGCATGCTTCAAGCCTTATGGATTATAAGCGCACCCCTACTACCTTACACATTATAAGCGCCACCATTAAAATTCTCCATTTTTTAGTTTACGCTGTTACAATTTATATCCTACGTTTTCTTTTAATATCTGACTACATATTCGCATTTTCTACATTTTCTATCAGATTATCACGTCCTACACATTTCTACCGTGCTTTACCCACAACCTATGCATCCTCCTCGGCAGTGGCAGTGCCTTCGTCGGCGGTCTCACCGTCCGACTCTGGCTCGTCTACGTTGTTGCAGCAGAATCCATCTGCTGCGATCTCGTCGTCAAGATCCACTTCGCCTTTGACGGCATCCCGCCGGTGCTGCAGGCAGAGACCGTCCTGAGACCCGTCCAAGGCGTTACTGATGCCGCAGGTCAGAAACGCGCGCTCAATCAACTCCTTGGGCACCGCCTTCCAGGCCTTGGAGATCCACTTGAGCGTCAGCTCAGGTGGTGGCTTGCGGATGTTGCCTGCCACACGTTAAAGATTCATCAGTTACGGTAGAACAGGGTCAATAATTAAAAAACAGTCCTACCGGTAAATCTTCAATCTCACCTCTTTCAGTCAGGCAGTCAACACCCTCGCTCTCGAACCATTGCTGGTATTGTTGTCGCACAGCTGCTTTGAAGGAGCGGTTCACGGCGACGTCCAACGGCTGCACCTCCGATGTGCAGCCAGCTGGTATGACGGCCGGCACGATACGCAGCTCGCCAAATTTCGCCTTCACTTGATCAGTCAGGTGCCCGCGGTAGGGGTCAAGCACCAACATCGCTCTCCTGCTGCGCACTCCGAACCTCGGGTTGACGTACGGGCCCACCGTACCGTCGAGCCACGCGAGGACGCCTTCCGCGTCCATCCAACCGTTGGGATGTGCAGCGACCACGACATCTGCACATCCGCACAACGTTGAGATTGACATCAGAAAATAAAAACACATTCAAATGCTACCGGGACTGCACAAGCTGCTCGGCTTACCGGAGGGGAAATTCCCCTTTGGAACTGTCTTGCGCTTAAAGAACACCCAGGGCTTGAGCTTCTCGCCGCTGGCGGTGCACGCGAGCATCACCGTCACGCGTTCCTTTTGATAGCCGCCGCTGCGGATGGGCACGGAGCGGACCCCCACCTCCTCGACAGTGCGTTCAGCTGGCATTTCGAGCCAGAGCGGGGTCTGATCAGCATTTATGATCCAGCGGTTGTCGATTCCGTACTGTCGGCGGGTGTGTCGCACGAACTTCCAGAAGTTTCGCACTTGCGTCTCGCACTCTGGAAGGGACGGGGAGGCAGAAACCATAAAAAAACATTAACTATCGACCGGTTGGCAAAGGGGATAAACAAGAGCGAATTCAAAAAGCCCACTCACCGGAGGATAGTTTCTAGCCGCCACGGGTCTTAGCTCGGGTAGTGAGATTCCAGCGGCGCCGAAAACGCTCGGTCCACCTCTGAGATCCCGCCCACTTTACCTCAGGATGCAGGCTCTTCATCACCTCTCGCGACCACTGCTGCAGGCGGCCGACCGACACTGCGAGGCACTTTTTCCGGGCGGCAAGTACTCGTGAGTAGACCTGGATCTCCATGTCGCGATACCACGACGACCGACAACGCCCGTGAAGACGCTTGCGAGCCCCATGCGCGCCCTCCAGCTCACCCTTCCGCGATTTCCATACTGCGAGGGACTTTCGGGAGATACCAGAGTCGCGTGCCATCTTCCGCATACTCACGGCACCGGACTCCAGCTGTGAAATCCAGTGCAGCTTCTCCTGAGAAGTATAGGAGTGCCGCTTGTGCCTTGAGCGCCTGCTCCTGGGAGACGGGGGGCGGGAATCACGATTCTGGGTGCAGGGGTGGGGCCTTTTTTTATTGGGCGGGGGAAAACTTGGGATAGGCAAGTCCTCGGGAAGACCGTCGGCCGCCCACCACTCAACATCGTCTTCGGCACCGGTGGCGGATTCGTCGTGCGGGCAGTCTTCCGGGTCTCCCCAACGTGGCGAAAGACCGGGTCCGGTTTCATCTTCGTCGCTGCGCTCGGGCTCGTGCTCGGGCTCGGAGATGTACGCATCGAAAGCAGAGTAGCCACGAGGGAGAAGCTGCAGAATGGGCACACCGTTGATGACGACGATAGGCGGAGCGGGAGGAGCAGGAGGCGCTGGAGGTGCAGGAGGCGTAGGAGGAGCAGGAGGCGCAGGAGGAGCAGGAGGTATTGGCGCTGGACGACTCTGCCACTGGGAGTAATCGGGAGCTTTGTCAGCAGCACCTCGGCGCTTAAAGAGGAAATGGGTGCCTGGTTGGCCCGCCATAGCTAAGGCAGGCCGATGGGAAACAAGAAATCTGAAAAAAACAGGGAGAATGAAGCATGTTTGAAACCCTTGCCCGAGACCCCTCCAACTTCGCGGCCCAGGTTCCTCTGCAGGCTAAGGGGAGAAACAGTCAAGATCTCCCCGCAGAGGAGCTGATGTGGTGAGGTCCATGCGTACGGGGCAAGGAATCTTGCCCCGTTTGTGGTTTTACTGCGTCGTGGCTAGCACGACAGTCGGCCCTGATTGGGCAGTCGCACACTAAACTGCGTGTGCGTTGGCATGGGCCAGATTCGGTACGATGAATCTGGCCTGGCGAGCAAGGCGTGGCGGGCGTGATTCCGCGCCTTGTTGGCAATTTGACGCGCGTTTCATGCACAAACTCGAACGTTCTAGATGTGGATTGAATCCCCGTTTGAAAAGGCTTCAAATACATGTAAAAAAAAACCATTTCAATTTTGCCTTTTTATAGGCGCCGGCGCTTATAAAATTCCTCAATTATAAGCGCACCCCCTAAAAAACAGTGTTTTATTATAAGCACAGGGGCGCTTCTATCCGGGGGCTGACGGTAACATTTCCTTCATCCAACGTCGAATTGTAGCAGGAGCTTCACGCTCTCCACGTCACTTGCGACAGGAAATAACTACTGTACATTTTTTAATCAATACCAGATTTCAAACAAACAAGATTTGCGATTATTTTGGATCGGGGAGAACTACCTACTTTTAGGAAGGCTTCTCTACCAACTAAAGAAGACAACTTCTCTGTTTTTATTGGCGGCAACCTCAGGCAGCAGAAGACGAGCGACACTATGAATATAATGCCTAACTCGACGGATCCTACGGCAGAATTTTTCCAGGATTTCACGTTGCTGGAGGAACGAGTTTGTCAAGACAGTAAGAGAGCCACATTGAGTGCATCTGCGCCTGCTTTTTTCCCTCATTCAGTGGGGGTAGATCCCACCATACCACTCACGCAACTGCCTGGAGGGACTTTACCTGCGATCGGAAACTTTCACTAGGCTGGGTTCGGCAGCAACGTCGTACCACAATCGGAGCTCCAGCAGGAGCTGCTATTTTCCCTATCTCAATCGGAGCATCAGTGACTCCAGTCACAACTCTTCCGCAAGGACGCCAGATCTCTGTGTTAATTGGAGGTGCTCGCCACCGATTTTGAAACAGGCGTCGCCTATTGCAACCCAACCAGAAAGCGTTTGGCAACACAGATGTTGGAGCAAACAAACCACAGTCGAAGATTCAGCAAGAAGGGTGTGCAGATCTGTTTCTACCGGTGCTGAAGTTTGCCAACAGCACAAGGGTTTCTCCTAGCGGGCAAGATGCAATTTTTAGTCGCTTGACTTAAAAACCGCCGTGGAGGCATCCGCGAGGGTACGGTACAATTGTACCTAGGTCCTCTAGCCCGGTTACGACCGTGGATGGTGTTTTTTGCATTGTATAATGTAATTTCACCTCCTTCGAAAAAAAAAAAAAAAAAAAAAAAGAGAGAGAATGTGACAGTGAAGTGTCTAACTGAAGATAGACACCAACCAGAGTAATTCCGCCCTGTTTTTTCTTATCGAGTGATTGTCTAATGCCTTCAATTTTGCTCTTTTTTTACGGTACCTTCTGCACCACTCTGCTTCCCCTCCCCACCATCCTCCTTTTCTTCCTCTCCCTTTTCACCCTTCACCTCCTCCTCTCCTCTGTCACCACCCACCTCCTCCTCCCTTCCTCCACCCCCAACCTCCTCCACTCCCTCATCCTCCCCTCTCTCCCCATCCACGTCCTCCTCCCACGCACCCCCCTCCTCCTCTGCAATCGAATCATTCTCCTCACCATCCCCATCCACTTCCCCTTCCCCATCTCTGCTTCCCTCCTCGTCACTCCCTCCCCCCTCACTCTCTCCTCTCTCGCTTCCCTCCCCTTGGTTCACCTCTCTGCAATCCTCTCCCTCATCCTTACCACCCGCCTTCCTTCCCGCTCTCCTCTTCGCCTTCTGTTTGATACCCCCTCCCCCCACTGCCCTTCGCCCCCCTCCCCCTTTTCACAGGGCAGTGCACGGCCGAAGCAGTAGGAGTGCCATGCATGCAGGTCGCGGTGGGATGGGATGGGCATGCCGTGACACGTGGCGACTCGTGATTCGTCAACGCCTTCAAGGCTCTGCAACAATGGTGGAGATGATGGGAAGAAGTGGGGTAGAGTGGGAGAGAGTGGTAAGAGGGGGATTGAGTGGGGTAGTGTGGTGTATCACATCCTGTGAGGGGTGAGATTAAGGCTCTGCAAGAATGGTGGGGATGATGGGAAGAAGTGGGGTAGTTTGGTTAATGAGAACCGTATTAATCTCACCCCTCACAGGATGTCCTCGTACCCCCTCCGTTAATCACGAAGGCAATCAGCCACCGGCAAGCACCGCCCCCCACTTGTGCGGCGCCTCACAGTACAGCAGCACCCACATGGAACCATGCCATGCACAGCAGCACCCGCATGGCACCATGCCATGCACAGAAGCACCCACATGGCACCATGCCATGCACAGCAGCACCCACCCACCTGGCGTCATGCACAGCAGCACCCACCTCGAGCGGCAGGGAAACATCTAACTGGCGCAGCAGAAAGGCACCCACATGGCGCAGGTACCCGAATGCACCTTGCACGTACTGCCGCCACTCATGGGACGGCAGCAACAGGGCGGGGACAGGCAGGCACATGCAGCACTCACCTGACGCAGCACAGAAAGTAAACACATAACCCGCACAGCAGAACACCACCCACCTGTCTCAGGTAACCAAAGGCGGCTTGCACGTACTGCCGCCACTCAGGGGAGGGCAGCAGCAGGGCGGGGCAGGCAGGCACCGCAGCCACTCGCGGCAGGTAGCGTGCAGACAGGGCCACTGGGGCACCGCTGCTGCTGCTCGTGCTGTCGCCAGTGCTGCTAGTGGGATTGCCGCCAGGTGGCGGCTTCTCATTGGCTGCTGCGACAACCACCTTGGGCACGCGCTCCCGCTCCCACCTGCACAGGGCGGACCAGAGAAGAGAGGAAGGGATTCGAGAGGAGGCGAGGAAAGAGTTGACTTTTGAGTCGCCTCAAAAGTCGCTCCCGCTCCCACCTGCACAGGGCGGACCAGAGAAGAGAGGAAGGGATTCGAGAGGAGGCGAGGAAAGAGTTGACTTTTGAGTCGCCTCAAAAGTCGCTCCTGCTCCCACCTGCACAGGGCGGACCAGAGAAGAGAGGAAGGGATTCGAGAGGAGGCGAGGAAAGAGTTGACTTTTGAGTCGCCTCAAAAGTCGCTCCCGCTCCCACCTGCACAGGGCGGACCAGAGAAGAGAGGAAGGGATTCGAGAGGAGGCGAGGAAAGAGTTGACTTTTGAGTCGCCTCAAAAGTCGCTCCCGCTCCCACCTGCACAGGGCGGACCAGAGAAGAGAGGAAGGGATTCGAGAGGAGGCGAGGAAAGAGTTGACTTTTGAGTCGCCTCAAAAGTCGCTCCTGCTCCCACCTGCACAGGGCGGACCAGAGAAGAGAGGAAGGGATTCGAGAGGAGGCGAGGAAAGAGTTGACTTTTGAGTCGCCTCAAAAGTCGCTCCCGCTCCCACCTGCACAGGGCGGACCAGAGAAGAGAGGAAGGGATTCGAGAGGAGGCGAGGAAAGAGTTGACTTCTGAGTCGCCTCAAAAGTCGCTCCTGCTCCCACCTGCACAGGGCGGACCAGAGAAGAGAGGAAGGGATTCGAGAGGAGGCGGGGAAAGAGTTGACTTCTGAGTCGCCTCAAAAGTTGCTCCCGCTCCCACCTGCACAGGGCAGACCAGAGAGGCGATGGGAGGCACGAGGAGGCGAGGAAAGGAAACGCGTGAAGTGACGGGATTTGAGGGGATTTAGAGTGACGGGAGTTGAGAAAACAAATGGAGGAACGAGGGAAATTGAGTAGAATTTCCTGTTCTGAGTGATGGCACAAGTTGACTCTCCTACCCTGGACTTGGAAACAGGGATTGTTGAAAACATCCACCTTTGAAGTGCTTGTGCAATACGCTCATGGATTTCCCTCCCTCCTACTAGCACCCCTCACCTAACACGCCGCAAGTACTCGAGCCCGTCAAGGGGGTGTGGAATGGAGAAGTCCGGTTCTCCATACACTGGCAGAGCCCTCGCCTGCACCTCCTCCTCCTCTTCTTCCTCTTCCTCCTCCCACTCCTCCTCCTGCTCTCCCCCCTCCTGCTTGCCCCACTGTCCCCCCCACCGCTCCTCCTGTTGACGCGGTCGGTGTTGTGTTCCGGTCGTTCCACACTCCTTCAGACCATCCCACCTGCCACCAGCCGCAACAGAAGCCAAAGCAGAAGCAGAAGCAGAAGCAGAAACAGAAGCAGAAGTAGCTGCAGCAGCAGCAGAAGCAGTGGAAACAGCAGCAGCATCAGCAGCGGTGATGGCAGCATCAGCCGCAGCAGCAGTGGCATCAGTTGAGATCCTCCCTGCTTCGTCACCCCTCTGCTGTGCCAAATCATCCTTGCCCATCTTACCATCAGCAGAGCTCCCACCACCTGCTGGTGCGGCAGCTGCTGCTGCTGTGGTGGTAAGGGCGGCAGTAGTGGCAGGAATGGCCGCAGCATCATCTGAGGACCTGGCAGGACATGCATCGTCAGTGTTTCCAATAGCGGACGCCTCATCTGTTGCACCAGTCACCATCGTGGCACCACCACCACACCTCTCCCCAATGCTGGTAGCAGAAGTGGCGGCAGCAGCAGCAGCAGCGCCAGAAGCACCGGCGGCAGCACCTGCACCAGAGGCAGCAGCGTCAGAAGCGGCCGCAGCAGCAGCAGCAGCAGCAGCAGCAGCAGCATACCCTCTGGCCTCGGCTGCCCAGCCTACCATGTGCGTCTCAGTCCCGGCTATCGCCTCACTTCCCCCATGCCCACTCGGACTGCCCCAGATCCCACCACCGCCGTTGCTGTTGCTGCTGCTGTTGCTGTTGCTGTTGTTGCTGCTGTTGCCCTCCCCATGCGCATTTCCTCGCCCCCTCCCTCCTCTCCCGCTCTGCTCCTGCCCCCCGGCATTCTTCCGCCCCTTCCGCCGTGACCCCTTCTCCCCTGCCCCTCCCCCTCCCCCGCCCCCTCCCCCTCCCCCTCCCCCTCCGCCTCCCCCGCCCCCTCCCCCTCCCCCCCCTCTTGCCACGTCCCTCATGAGCTCTTCCACAGCCAGCTGCGTGCTGCCATTCATGGTGCGCCACGTGTCACGCTGGTACTGGACGGACTGCAGCCCGATCTGCTTGAGCTGCTCGAAGGAGTACACGTGGACAGCTGCTGCACACGTGGCCGACCCTGCTCCTCCTAACCCCCTCCCTCCTCTCTTACCACTGTTTCCTCCTATTCCTCCTCCTCCTCCTCTGCCTCCTCTCCCCTCCACACCGCACTCCTTCCCAACCCCAGCACCCAACGCTGTCGCTACCACCCATCCTTCTCCTTCCTCCTCCCTCCCTTCCCCACACCCACACTCTCCGCTCTGCCCACCCCTCCACTCATCCCCCACTCCTCCCCAGCTACATAGCCAGAGCCCTCCGTCGCCCCCTGCCCCTGCCATGCCCTCCCATCCCTGCCCCAACCACAAGCCCCTGCTCCAACGCCCATGTCTGTGCCCATGCCTCTACCGATGCCCACACCCATGCACGCCTCCCTACCCATCCCAATACCCATCTCCATGCCTGTTCCCATGCCTGCTCCCATGCCTGCTCCCATGCCTACAGCACCAGGCGCATGCATGGGCATGTACATTTCTCCATGCACAGGAGGCATGGGCATGGGTCCCCCTCCTGGCACGACCATTGGACCCCCTCCGTGCATGGGCATGCCAGCAGGCATGGCATGCCATGCCGCATCAGCACCAACCCCAGACCACCCCCCAGGCGCGCACTGCATGGCGCTCACACCAGGGGGAACGGGCAGATGCACAGGCAAAGGCATGGGCACGGGCATGGGCACGGGCATGGGCACAGGCATGGGCAGGGTGAGAGGGGGACCGTAGCCCTTGCCGAGAATGCCCTTCTCTGCGTCTGGAACCCCATGGGGGGAATCAACTACAGCCGCTGCTGCTGCTGCTGCTGCTGCTGATTCTGGTAGTACAGGGCCGGGAGGGGTGCTGGTCGCTGTGCTTGCAGCGAGGGAGGGGAAGGGGGGTGGCTGGAGGGACGCCTGTGAGGGGGCGGGGGTTGGCTGGGGAGAGAGATCCCGAGTGGGGAGGGTTGCAGGCGCGCGGGAGCTTGGGGATGCGGGTAGAGGAGAAGACGAGAGGAGAGGAGAAGACGAGAGGCGAGGAGAAGACGAGAGGCGAGGAGAAGATGAGAGGCGAGGAGAAGACGAGAGGCGAGGAGAAGACGAGAGGCGAGGAGAAGACGAGAGGAGAGGAGAAGAAGAGGGGCGAGGAGGCTGAGGGGTGTGTGGCGGGATGAGTGGCGGGGTGACGGAAGGAGGAGACGCGGCAGGGGGGGGAGCGGCGGTGGCAGGAGGAGGAGAAGCGGCAGCAGCTGCTGGTGAAGGTGGGAGGAGGGAAGACGACTCTGAGGCGGTGGGGACAAGGCAGTCCGCTGCTTGCTCGCACGAGTCTTTTTGTGGCTGTGTGTGTCGCGTGCTCACTTGCAATATGTGTGATTGCTTTGCCTGCTCCTCACGCGCTCCTGGCACCACAGGGGTGGACACTCTGCCGCTGCACACCGTCCAGCACCCTTCCGCAACGCCAGAAATCCCTTCTGTTGCAGCACTCGCTGCGGGAATCGCTGCAGGAGCAGAGGCAACAGCAGGATGCGGAGAAGCATGTGCAGCAGTCTCTGGGAGAGAAAAAGCGGAGGGAGAGCAAGAGGCAGCAAATGCACCTCGACTCGTTTCAATTGGTGACTTTCCTTTCCCACTCGCCTCCTCCCTGTCATCCTGCGTCCCCTCCTGCTCCTTTCCCTCTCCCCCTTCCTCTCCCCCTTCCTGCCCCTCTTCCTGCCCCCCTTCGTGTCCCCCTTCCTGCTCCCCTTCCTGCTCCTCTTGCTGCGCCTTTTCCGGCACTCCTTCCTACTGTCTTTCCCCTCGCTCCTCTCTCTCCCTTTCAATACTCCTCTCCGATTCTTCACTCACTTCTCTTCCCTGCTCCTCTCCTCCTCTGTCCCCCACGTCCTCCCTTTCCTTCTCCCCGCTCCCCGCCTCGCCTGCCATATCCTCCCTACCGCCTCCTTCCTTTCCCACCTCACGCTCCTCCCCCTCTTCCCTCTCCTCCGTCGCCCCACACCCCCCATCCATACACGCAACACCACCAGGTGACTCATGAGTCGGCCCAGAATCCTCCTTCGCCCCACACGCTTCACCTGCCACACACTCTCTTGCTTCACCTGCCACACACTCTCTTGCTTCACCTGCCACACACTCTCTTGCTTCACCTGCCACACACTCTCTTCACCTGCCACACACTCTCTTGCTTCACTTGCCACACACTCTCTTGCTTCACCTGCCACACACTCTCTTGCTTCACCTGCCACACACTCTCTTGCTTCACCTGCCACACACTCTCTTGCTTCACCTGCCACACACTCTCTTGCTTCACCTGCCACACACTCTCTTGCTTCACCGTCACCGCTGCCTGAACCTCCCTCTCCCGCAATCTCCGTCCCTTCCAATGCTCCGTCTACCACCCTCTCATCTCCTCGCCTCTTCCTCTCCTCTTCCACGTCGCCCCCTCCCCTGCCCTCCTCCATCACCTGCCTTTGCTCCGCCACTGCCTCCCTCTCTACTACCCCCTCTTGCAACTCTTCCCCCTCTCCCCCCTCTCCCCCCTCTCCCCCTTCTCCCGCCTCTTCCTCTTTTAACCCTCCTCTCCCATCCTCTACCCCGTTTCCCAAAGTGATTCTTTCAGTATTCGCCTGCTCATGCTTCCTCTCCTCTCTCACTCTCTCCTCTTCCTCCCTCCCCTCCTCCTCCCGCTCATCAATGCACCCACCCCTCTGCTCCTCCTCCCCTTCCCCCTCCCCTTCCCCCTCCCCCTCCCCTTCCCCCACCCCCACAACCTCCTCCCCAGCCATCCACTCCCCTCCATCCTCCTCCCCCTCTTCCCCATACTCTTCCCACCCCTCCGCCTCTTCCCTCGAAGCCCCAGGGGCCGTTCCCCCATCCGCCGACCTGCTCCCTCCCCCTCTTCTCCCCCCTCCCCCCCTCCACCCGCCTCCCCTTCCGCCTCCCCCACCCCCTCCTCCCCTTCCCCCGTACCCCCTGCTTCCCCCTCCCCGCCCTCCTCCAGACGAAGAACCCCCAGCCCCTCCCCCTCCCCCTCTCCTCTTTTTACCTCCGCCCCCTCTTCCACCCCCGCTCCCTCCCCCGCCCCTCCGCCCGCCTCCCCGCCTTCCCCCGCCATCTCCATCACCACTCCCCTCATCCTACTCCCCCTCTCACCCCTCACCTCCCCCTTTAGAAACACTCCCGTTAGAGACATCCGCCTTTCTATCGCCTTGCGCGCTCCCCTGCCTACGCGCGCCAGCGTCTCCCTCCGCCTCTCGCCCCTGCGGCTGCTGCAGGAGCGCGCCAGCCATCGCTGCACCAGGAGGAGCGGGTTGCCCCGCCTCAGCGCGCGCAGCAGCACTGCCAGCGGTAGCAAGCAGGGACGGCGCAGGGACACGGACGGCGGTAGCAGCAGCATTGAGATCCTGAGCAGAAGAGGGTTCCGTGGCAACAGACGATCCCGCAGCTGCTGCGTCCGCGCCGGCAGTAGGGACAGCTGTCTCGACGGGAGCAGCAGACATTGCTGACGTGGCAGCGGAGTGAGCACTCGCGGAGGGATGGGTCGGAGGCGGTGCAATGGGAACCAGAGGAGTGGCAGCAGCAGCGATGACGGGTTGAGAAGCAACGCTCGATGTAACAGCACCTGCAGCCGCAACCGCTGCAGCAGCAGGAGCAGCAGCAGCAGCAGCTGAAGGGGCCGTGTGTGTGGGTACTGCAGCAGCTGCGATTGAAGGGGTTGTAGCTGCCGGTACTGCAGCAGTCGTCACTGACGGTACTGCTGCAGCAGCAGGGAGGCTCGTCCCGCCGTTGGCCCTCATATTGCCATCTTCTAGCCCATCCGCCGGCGCACCGTTGATCGCTGGCCTCGTTGACCGCTGGCCTCGTTGACGATCCAACGGCGGACAACGCGCCATCAGCCGCGGCATTCCCGAAGCCGTCTGTAGCGGGCCGAGCGAATCGCGGAGCAGATGGATCGCTGGCGGCAGGGTTTGGATTGCGCGGCGGAGCTACCTGCGCGCCGTAGACGGGCGCGATGCTGGCGGGGCCAACCAGCGGAGTGTGTTGGGGTTCTATTTGCGGTTGGATAGGGGTTTGGTGGTTTTGGATAGGGTGCTGGTGCGGTTGGATAGGGGGGTGGCGCGGCGGAGCGACCTGCACGGCGTAGACGGGCGCGATGTTGTCGGGGCCGAGCAGTTCGAGGCGGCACTGGCAGATAAACGAGTTCACCTTAACGAGGTATTTGGGGTCCACCGCGAGCTCCGCTGGCCCCGATGGGGGAATCTGATGGTTCATGGCGTCGCGAAAGGTTCTCGACGGGATTTTAAGAACCTACACGCTACAAAACGGCGTTCAACTTAATGAGGTAGTTCGTTTCCACTGTGAGCTCCGCGAGTCCCGAAATGGGGTTTCAACGGTTTACGGCATCGCAAACGGTTCTTGCAATTTCTCAAACACCACCTGGTACTTCAACTAGGCAATCAGGGTCCACCGCGAACTTTGGTAGGACCGATGGCATGATCAGTCATAGCGGCGCGTGATAATGCCAAATACGTTGGCTGGAGATAGTGGGAATTCACAAGGATTTAGGGGTATTTTGAGGATGCGAGAATGTCGGGGGATGGGTTGATTTGAGTGAGGCAGATCAAGAGCTCGTTTGCCAAAAATCGCTCTGAGGGATATGGTATGTGTGGGTTCGACAATTTTCTGCGTCTGTACTTAAGCGCGTACGCTTTCCAGGGTCCAAACCTTTGATTGTGGCAAAACCCCGTCCAAACTTCGATTGTAGCACAGTGTACTCGCCAGCGTCCGTGTGCAAGGCTGTTCATCCTACCGTATGTTCCTCAGTTATTGCAGCAATGTCATTCACATAAAAATCATGAGAAAGCAAATACAGGAGAATGTTGATATCAGCTAGAAAATTTTGAGGCTGTTGAAAATGTTATTGCTGGAGAGTGTCACTTGCCGCTGTGATGATACCGGTAGTGCCTGTTCTGACAACAGCTACTAATGTTGTGTTGGGTGACAACAGCTAGGCTGGTACTGCTGTGGTATTGTGACAATAGAATTACGAGCTGCTATCACAGTAGTGATGACTCTAGCTGCCATGACAAATGCCACCGTGTTAGATACTGCAGAGAAAATAGGAGAATTGATATTGCTAATGCGATAGCAGCAGTCCATTGTAGCTATGACAACAGCAGCAGCGTCCGGTGCTGGTGATGTTGTATGTCAAATGGTCTAGTGACAATAGTGGTACAATCCCAAGTGGGACTTAGCAAAGGATTGCTCAGGGTTGATCGCAGAGTAGTGTTGCAGCGGAAGTTTGAATCTCAGGTCAGAGTGAATGTAAATGACTGAGTTGATAAAAGCATGCATACATCGAGTTTATATACGGTAAGAATACAGGGGAATGCGAAAAGACCTAGACTAGCCATGTACTCTAAGGGGTACATTCCCTTATTACACCAAATTCAAACCGTGCGGCGCGGGAACCTGTTTTGAACCTGTTCCCGTTCTTTTCATTTCAAATGTTTCCGCTTGCATCGGTCTTGGTCAGGCGGTTGCTGCGTCGCTTCGACTCTTGTGACTTCTCGACTTCGTACTCGGTAGAGTCGGCTCCTGCAGCATACAGGAATGCCTTCTCATAAAACTTCATATCGTAACACTCCCTTTCATTCCTGGACGCGGGTGGAGCTATCTCGCTTGACTACTCCGGTGAGGTCAGAGCAGTGCTTGTACGGCTGACGTGGCAGGCGCTTGGTGAGGAAGTCTGCCGCCATCTCAGTAGTCGCGCAGTAGGCGAGGTCAACTTTTCCTTGGTCAATTTTGTCTTTGACGAAAAAGTACCGAGGCGCGATGTGCTTCGTGCGGTTCACGAATCCTGGTTTGTTCGCGATTCTGATGGCACTCTGGTTGTCGCAGTGAAGGCGAAAGGTAGGCAAGGTTGGAATTTTCGCCTCCTATAGCAGCTCTTGCAGGTACAGGCCTTCGCGAACTGCTGCTGTCGCGGCGATGTATTTTGCTTTGGCCGATGACAGAGCAACCAGCTCCTGCTTCTGCGAGTTCCAGGAGATTGGCCCAGTTGGTTCCAGGCGAAAAACGAAGCCGGTTCGGGACCGTCGATTTGCAGGATCAGCTGCATGGTTTGCGTCCACCTAGCCGTTGAGGTTGAAGGAGGTCGTCGTCAGCGTGGAGTTGGAGAGCCCAATGTCAGGTGTGGAGATGAAGTACTGCAGGGCGCGTTCCAGGTCCAGCTAATTCTTAGCTACTGGCTTGCGAGAATACTGCGCCAGTTGGCTAGCGATGTACGAAAGGTCGAGTCGGCAGGTGACAGAGGCGAACAACAGACAACCCAGTTGCTGTTGGTACAGTTGGAGTCCTGCGGGTGACAGTGGTTTGTTGTCCGGTTTGTAGTTGGTGCTGGGGCTGCGGTAAGGAGTTGAGAGTGGTGCGGGAGAGATATTGAAGCGTTCCCCCAGCTGCTCTGCGTACTTGGGGGCTGACAGGTAAATTGCTTCTGGCGCATAAGTGATGTTTAACCCCAAAAACTGCTTCACTTCGAGGTTGATGGTGATATCCACGCGCTGCGCCAGGCTCTCCTGAAACTGATCAAGGAGTTTGTTGCAGGTGCCCGTGTACAGTAGGTCGTCGACGTAGACTGTCAGGAGGATGTAGTCGCCACTGAAGTGAAGGTGATACATTCACGGGTCGTGTGGGAGCTGCTTGAAGCCGATTTCGAGGAGGATTTTGTGCAGGTGTTGCTGCCATAGGCGAGGCGCCTGCTTGATCCCGTAGAGGGACTTCTTCAGCTGGCAGACCCTGGGATCACCTTCTCCGTAGTTGTGTGGCTGTTCCACAAAGATGGTGGCGTCCACCAACGTGTACAAATATGCGTTCTTCACGTCGATGTGTCGCACTGGTAGGTGCTTAGCGGCGGCAATACCGAGTAGAATCTGGACTGAGGTGTGGCGACTGGCGGGAGCGAAGGTCTGGTCAAAGTCGATGCCGTGGCGCTGATCGTACCCGCGTACGACCCAGCGTGCCTTGAAGCACTCGATAGTGCCGTCAGCGTTAGTTTTCAACGAAAAACTCACTTTCCGCTGAGTACCCTCCTCCCCTTCACTGCTGCACGATCGACTAGGACCCAGGTGTCACGAGATTCCAGTGCCTTTAGCTCCGCATCCATCGCAGCACGCCACTCCTTGGCGTGAGGGCCGGTTAGGGCCTGGCAAGGATTCTTTGGCTCCACGGCTCGTGCAAGAGTAGAGACGGATGTGTGCAGGCCGAGAAGTTGAAGGCCTGACACATTGGTGGTGTTCACAGTGGTGGGGACTTCCACCACGTCATCATCTCCGCTTTCGTAGCCGGGTACCGCGGTGCTTGGCTCTGCTTGGCGCCGTGGTGGTCCTGGCGTGGGATCGTCATCACTGTCAACGTCGTCGCGCGGGCGAGGCGGGATGCTGGGATGTTCGTCGGTGTCATCGTGGTCCAGTACTGCTGCTGCTGCTGCTGCATCTTCAGGGGTCGCAAAACTACGGCCGCTGTTGACATAGCCGCGTTGCCTGGTTTCAGCGTTCGTCCTCAATCCACTGCTTCAAGGTGAGTCGCTCGTAGAAGAGAATGTCACGCGTCGGAACGATCTCGTTACTGTCAATGTCAAAGATGAGCAAGCCTTTGTGCTCGTGGCTAAGCCCCAGATGAACTCCTCAGCGCGCACGATGAACGAACTTGCCGATTGTTGCCGAGGTCGGCTGATATTGCACCATGCACCCCCAAAACCTCAGCATAGAGGGATCTCCCCTTGAGCCGGTCCACTTCATGTGAGGGGACAGGTTGTCCCTGTTGGCGGTGGTGGAGAGGAGGTTGTGCAGGCGCACAGCGTGGTTCATGGCGTAGGGCCAAAACTTCTTTGGCAGGCCGGACGGGTTCATGATGGCGCGGACTTTAGTCATGAGGGTGCAATTGACCCTCTCAGCGACGCCTTGCTGCTGGTGAGCGTAGGGGAGAGAAATCTCATGCTTGATCCCCTTCTCGGTGAGGACACTCTCCAGCTCATTGCTGCGAAATTCCTTTGCCCCATCACACTGCCACATCTTCAGTTTCCTCCCTGACTGTCGTTGTGCGTGCGCGAGGAAGATGTGGAACACCTCCGGAGCCTTGGAGCGGGCGTCGACGTTGGCGATCCACACGTGGCGTGAGTAGGCGTCGATGAAGGTGAGAGTATACTTCTCGCCGTTGATGCCGTCGCAGGTGAGCACGATGAAATCGCTGTACACTTTTTCCAACTTTTTGTAGCGATTGTTGCTCGGCTCCAGAGAGGGGTAGGTGGTGTGGGAGAGTGCAGCTGTGGGACAGACAGTGCAGGTGGTCGGATGTGGGGTCTTGTTCTGTAATTCCGTTCCGTCGGGGCGCAGCAGTGCTCCTGGCGGAAAAACTTTGGCACGGAGGCAGTTAGCGAGCGTCTGGCGCGAGGGGTGGCCCATCTGCTGGTGCCAGAGATCATCTTCGGCGCGGATGCTGGAGGTACGCTTGTAGCGGGCGTAGTGTTCTGCTGCTTCTTCTTCCGTAAGTTGCAGAATCTGGAGTGGGGGTTCTTCCTCTTCTCCTGGTTCTGCTTCGTTGTCCGGCTCCTCTGTTTCTGCTTTTGCTGTTGCCGCCGTTGCCTCCCCTTCTGCAGGTGTCGGAGGTAGAGCGCGAGAAATTCGCGGTCGGGGATTATGGTGAGCGGGGTCGTGGTGCCTTCGATGAAGCGAGCAAACGGATATGGGCGGGAGATTGGACCAAGAGAGTCCCGAGGAGGAGTTGGTGGTACATTCCCCTCCTCAATCTCCAACCAAGGGTCGCTCCAGCGATGAGGTGAGCGAGGTGGTTCACTAGTGCGAGGGGGTCGGCCGAGGGGAATGGCGACTCGAGGTGGTGCTTCGCCGCGCTCAGCTTGCATTTCTCATTCAGCTTCCTCCAATTCTTCTTGCGTGAACTCCCCTTCATCGGGTTCGGCCGTTCCCCATCTTCCCGTGGTGACCGTGCCGCTGGCGCTGGTTCCCCAGTCTCCAGTTGCGGATGCCCAGGTTGCACCTTCTTCTGGTTCGTAATCCTCATCTCCCCATGCGCCACGGCGTGCGGACTCTTCATCCCATCCTGCCGCGACGCGCTCCTCATACAACTTCTGTTTCTTCTTCGCCCGGGCCTTGTCTTGTTCTTCCTTGACGCTCAACTCCCCTTTTGCGTTAGGATCCTTCCAGGCTGGGTCAATCACGCGGCGATAAACTTCGCGGGTGTAAGGGCGCGGCCGCTCTTCTTCGTCGAGGGTGGTGGCGTTGGCTTTAAGGACGAACTCGAGATTTTCTGAGTATGGCGTTGCCCTTTCCGTTCGCGGTAGCTCGTAGGTCTTGTCTGCTTCGCCGAAGATGCGGTAAGATGACACAGCAAGTTCTTCTCTGGTCATGCTGGTAGGTTCAGCCTCTGCGCTTTCTGCTTCCTGAATCGCCGCATAGTCCCTTTCGATTTGCTCCGAGTGGCTTGCGGTGGGTGTGTGGCAGGTGGTGCAGAGACCGTTGATGTCTGGATTGAGAAAGCTTGCTTTCTTTCTTATCAATTGGCATCGTTCTCATTACAAGGGCATCGTTCTCATTACAAATGGCGTGTTACAACATTTGCATCATCGTTCGACATAAGCTAGTGCGGACTAATAACACTAGCTATTATGTACCCTATCCAAGTGGCATTAGCAAGGCGGTTTACACAGGGGTGGGTGGTGGGAATGTTGAGTGAGCCGTTTGAAAATTGAGAAACGTGGGTGGAGGGAAATGAGCTCCAACCCACGGTTTTTGTAGTTGGAGAAGGGCGTTTAGCGCGCTTCGACGGTGCCAATTGTGCAGTACAAGCAGCTTCGCTTTCACAATACACAATTTCAAAAAACACTACATGTGTGTTTAAAAATTATAATATTGAGAAAGCTTGCTTTCTTTCTTATCAATTGGCATCGTTCTCATTACAAATGGGGTCTCTGAGACATGGGCAGCGGGGGCCTCCGGTTGCGTACGAGTGCCTCTGTGTGTTGCGCCGATGACACCGCATGCGTCGAATCTTGTAGGGCACGGGAGGCTTCGATGAGGGGCTCGACGTATGGCGTAACATACATTTCCTTTGCTGTGTTGCTTCGCCATCTGCCCAGCCGTTTGAAGACTCTGTCTGGCACTCCCGTGTTGGCTGCTACTGTGGCTGCACCTTTTCGGAAAGAATGGGTGCCTAGCTGCAACTCTCCAAGGCCAACCTTTGCGAAGGCTTCCTTGCACCAGTTCCGGATCGTAGTGTATGAAGGTGGCCTAGCCTGGCCCTCGCTGGTTGAACCGTGACCGAAGACACGAATCAATGGTCCCTCTGACCGTGGGCCATAGCCAGCGAGTCGGATGAAGCGTCGGGTGCAGCGCACTGGGCAGCAGGGGTCCGCCGTTGCTGCAATGGGTATCCAAGTGCCGTGACCAGCTTGATCGGTCTTGGAGTGTGGTATGAGAATCCACATGACCTCGTCGTCGAATTGGATGTCTTGCCATTTTATGGCTACTAGGTCAGAGTATCGCAGGAATCCGGAGTACATGAGGATGGGTATCAACCCTTTCTGAAATTGCGCAGGATCGTCGGACTGCAAGTAGCTCGCGGCCATTTCCTGGACTTGTTGGATCGAGACGGGTTCCTTCAGACGAGTAGGGCGTGGGCAGTGTCGCTTTGCATAGTCACGGACTTGGGTGGTGAACGGTCCGGTTGTCGGGCATTTGCTCCCAGTCATGCGATGGGCGAAGCTGACCGCCGAGCAGGTTAGCTGCACTATGGACAGGGTGGCTTTGCGTCGGATTGCGTGTACCAGGTATAGCGCGAGGGTCATGTCGGATGCCGGGAGGAATGGAAGGTTCACTTTTGTGCAGAAGGCTCGAAACTTGGCCCAGTATGGTTCATATGTCCGGATCGTAGAATCGGCGCGGGACTGCGCGAGCATGTTGATCAGTTGGTCGTGTAACTTTGGGAGCAAATCTGAGCACAAGGTGTATATATATTGAATTAGTCAAATGCCACTCGCAGTGCAATGATTGGGCTGTGCGGTAGTCCCATGCCCGAAAAAGCAGTTGAATGGGACCCTACGTCTAGGCATTGGCTTCCGTGTGTCAGAGGGATGTGCGCGTGGATGTGTGGTGCCCAAGTGCGTGGGGAGGGTTGCAAGAGTGGCCACCAGCTTGCGCCTGGCCAGTGCGGAACTATCAGTGTGAGTGATGCATGGGTGCGTTGTGCGTGATGGAGGACGGCTGGGACCAGTTGAGGTGGGGGGAAGGCGAAGTTGTTTTCAGGTGTCCACGCGATCGAGAACGCATCAACTGCAATGGCTGCCGGGTGGGGAATCTTTGAACACAAGCGCGGCAGTTGGGTGTTGCGGGAGTTTGCGAAAAGGTCGATGGAGTGAGGACCCCAACGACGTTCCAAGATCCGGAACCACGGCGTTTTCAGCGCGTAATCGTCGTGGTCGACCATTTTTGAAAGCTCGTCGGCGTGTGTGTTGAGCTCGCGCGGAATCCATTCAATGATCAAGCGCGTGCCAAGCGCCATGCATGTTCGGATGATGCTCTTGCATGCCGTTGTGAGGTCGGGGCTGTGAGAGCCGCCTTTGCGAAGGATGAAGAATACGCCCTGGTTGTCCACCCGCACGAGAACGTGTTTTTGCTTGATCTTGTTCGCGTACGTTTGTAGCGCCCAAAGGACGCCTTCGATCTCCCGTCGCGTGCTGGACGTTCCTCGTAGCGGCTCTGACATGGTTGCGCTAGCTTCTTCGATGCCACCCGGAAATGTGGTCAGAGTGGCGCCCCAACCATGAGAGCTGGCATCCACGTGGATTACCCCGTCGTAGCTGTTCTTGACGTGAAAAGGTGCGCCGTTGAAACGGTCGAACTCCTCGAGCCAAAATTGGAGCTCTTCTGCTGCAGATGGGAGGATAACGACGCTGCTTTTCCATGACGGTGCGTCGTCGATCACTTGTAACATAGCATGGCTGAATGCGCGAGCTGTCGCGCCAAGTGCGACACCCATCGATGCGAGCATGCCAGTGATTCTGGCCACGTGGCGGACCGGGACTGGTCGGCATGCCTTGCTTGCGCTTAGGAGGTTCCGGATGGTTGCATGTAGTGAGGCTCGTCGGTCCGGACCGATGGAGAATCGGCCGGTATCGGTCTCGAGTTCTACGCCCAGGAATCGGAGACGCTGCGATGGTGACAGTTGTGATTTCTTCGCGTTTATCACAAGGCCTGCCTCTTTAAGATCCAATATCACCCGCTGGCAAGTTGCTTGCGCGTCCTCTTTCGACTGACAGAGAAATAAGATGTCGTCCACGTAAGGTACGACTCGGATGCCTTGTTCTCGCCAACGCCGAGCTAGTTGCTTGATGAGTTGCGTGAAAACGAATGGAGCTGTCGCGAGGCCAAATGGTAGTGAACGGAATGCGTATGTGCGCTTATCAAATTCAAAGCCAAGGAACTTCCAGCACGATGGGTGGATGTCGATGTGGTGGTAACCAGATTTGAGGTCAATGGAGAACATCCAGTCCCCAACGCGCGCAAGGTCGGCGACGCGGCTGAGCCCTTCGTACTTGAACTTGGGGATGATCAAGTTGGCGTTGACTTTCCTCAGATCAAGAATGAGCCTGCATTTGTCTTTTTGCTCGACCACGTTGAGTGGACTTATGCATGTAAGGTCCGTTGCGGCCATCGGAATTGCCGCTCCCGTCTCTATGAGTTCTTGGATAGCGGTACGTGTGAACGTGGCATGCGTGTTTGCCCCGACATGATTGCGATCGTGGAAATGTTGCGGTGGGCCGTGGCTCCATGGCAACCAGTAACCCTTGGCGATGACGGAGAGGACAAGGCTGCTGGGGCACCATGAGCTCCACCACGCAAATGTCGCGCGAAGACGACCGCGCATGTGTGTAATAGTTCTGTCTGTAACGGCAAATTCGTACGGATCGTCGTGGCATGCCGCCTCGCACCGTCGTGCTCCTGTACATTTGAGGCCAAGTGGTATAAGCTTTGAGTATTCCACGTTAAAGCATGCGTGTGCATGTACTTGTACGGACAACCATTGATCGAAGGTGTGAAGAGAATGAACAATTGAATGAAATGTCAACGAATGTGTCGGGAATGTTAACGCATGTCAACGCATGTCTCTTCTTCTCCTCGTTTCCCCTTTTTTTTTTTTTTTTTTTTTTTTTTTTGCCCCGTCGTCCACTTGGTAGGACATGGTTGTGCCTGCCCTTAGTGCGTAGGGGCTGATGCCTAGGGCCATGGACACCGTTGTCCATTGTGCTTTCTCTCATTCTCTCTTGTCTCTCTCTCTCTCTCTCTCCCTCTCTCTCTCTCTCTCTCTCTCTCTCTCTTTCTCTCTCTCTCTCTCTCTTTCTCTCTCTCTCTCTCTCCCTCTCTCTCTCTCTCTCTCTCTCTCTCTCTCTCTCTCTCTCTCTCTCTCTCTCTCTCTCTCTCTCTCTGCTCCTCCTCTTGATTTTCATAGTCTCTTTGCCAAAACCATAGGCCTTTAGGAAGGTAGTTTTTATTAAATCAACCAACACACATAGCAATGCTTTCCTAGCATGCCACCAAGTGGCCAACATATGGGACCGAGGGGTTGTTGTTCCCCTTCCCTATCCTAGGCCCAAGCCTATCCCACCCTTTACTAGGGCTGGCCTCTTGCCATCGCAAACCCCTAGGGTTGCCCACGGTTTTTGCACTCAAGAGTGCACCGTGCCTAGCGCCCAAGCGCCTAGTCTCATGGCCCGCTCCTACACCACCGGAGCGGGTCCCTGGCCTCCATGCCCGTTCCGAGGGCAGGCACTTGCCACGTGGCCCGGCTGGCCACAGCGGAAGCATGAGCCCCGGAACCCATGGCAATTGGCCGTGGGCGGGGGGCCTCGCTTGGGTAAGAACGGCATCGGCCCGTTGTTTCCGCCGCGGTTGACACGAGCGTATCCGCTTGCCGCACGGTCCATCGCCGCCATGTCCGCGACCGCCTGCTTGAAGGGTCGAGAAGTCAGCAGGCTCTTCTGCTGGTACAGCTTAAAGCGCTTCGCCGTGCGAAAGTCGGAGGCGTCCTCCACTTGAAGCACCTCGAAACGCCCCGCGATGAGGTTGAGAGCGTGTGAGATGAGTTCGAGTACGCCCGCCGGATCACCGCGCTGCGCCTTGTATTCGGCGTGCAGCAGGTACGCCAGCAGGTCCTCCAGTAGCTCCGCTTGCTCTCGCACGGAGTCGTTGACGAAGGTTGCCGCCGAGAAGGTAAGATTAGAAGAAGGGAGGGGGGGAAGGTTTTCCGTGCCAATAAAATTAACATTGTTGACTGGAGCCTCACCGGCTTCATCTTCAGAGTCGTCGGTGTCGTTGTCGACCGCTGGAGCAGGGGGAGCGGCAGTCGCTGCGTCGTTGTCATGCCGGCTCGTCCGTGCTCCCCGTGTGCCTTTCTCCTTTTTTGCAGTTTCTTTTTTAGCCGACGCAGATGCGGCGGGTAGTGCAGTTTCCGCGGCTGTAACGCTGACGGGTTGCTGCTGTAGAAGGGACAGCAGCGCGTTGACCTGGTCCAGGGTCAACGCCTGCGTCAGCGCAGGGGCGGCGGTCGCGTCAGACGAGGAGACTGCAGTCCGCCTCCTCTGACGCTGACGCGACGGTCCAGCAGCGGGTGCTGGCGTGTGCTCGGCGTCAGTCGCGTGTGCCGCGCCAGTCCCCGTCGCCACTTGCGCCACAGGTGCCACTGGCGCCACAGGCGCCACTGGCGCCACAGGCGCCACTGGCGCCACAGGGACCGAAGGGTGCTGCTGGGTTTCGGCGTTTTTGTGGACCTCGAGCCCGCCCAGCAGCACGTCCACTGCAGTCGGGGCGGAAGGTCCGTCTTCTGCCCGACGCTTGTTACGGCGTTCGCCCGCAGAATCGCGGGCGTTACGGTCGGAGTCGGAAGCGGGGGTTGACGAGTTCCCGTTGTTAAGTGTCGGCGTAGGTGCCATCGTTGAGCGATTGAAGTTGAAAATGTCGCTGAGTAAAGTAGAGGGTGACTCGCCTCTAGGAAGCGATTTAATCCTAGCCAGCTTGGAGGGAAAAACTACTCGAGCGGAAAATGTTGAGTGAGCCGTTTGAAAATTGAGAAACGTGGGTGGAGGGAAATGAGCTCCAACCCACGGTTTTTTTAGTTGGAGAAGGGCGTTTAGCGCGCTTCGACGGTGCCAATTGTGCAGTACAAGCAGCTTCGCTTTCACAATACACAATTTTAAAAAACACTACATGTGTGTTTAAAAATTATAATTTCGTGCAGGTTGATCTCGCGGGGGTGAGGGCTGCGGCGAACCCATGGGCGTCCGTCCGGATGCTCCCACGACTTCTGGTTCATGAAGGCGAACTCGAGGGGAACAAGGTCCACGAGCTCGTCCGATGACGCTTGGCAGGAAGGTACATCGAAGTCCAGGATGTAGATTCCGTTGATTGAACGGGCCCGTCCGAGATACTTGAACGACTTAGGAGGTGTGTCTGGGGGAGCGTAGGTAAGAATGAGGTCGCGCGTGGCAAGATCCGTGTGTATTATGACGCACAGTCGCGGAGTTGTCCAGCCGAGAGCAGGTTGAAGCAGAGATTTGGGACGTAGAGCACGTCGTTGAATGAGATGTGAGTGTTGCTGTCTCGTGCTTGCAGGACGACAATGCCTTGTGAGTTGGCTCGCACCTGCTCGTTGTTGGCGACGGCTGTCAGAACATTATAGCTTATGCTTTTGTGTAGGCTGTAGTGGGGTATCCCATAGGGGGTACAACCCAATTAGGGTTAGTACTTGTACCCACTTCATTCATAGTTCATTCATTCTCGTTCTCACTTTCTCATGGTATCGAGCAGGTTCCCTCGTGGGAACTGTTCCTAGGGCCCACCAATCCTTTTTTTTTCCTGCCCGGGGCGCGTCCTGCCCCTGCCCGAAGCGCGCCTGGGGTCGCGCCCTTAGCAGCGGCCCCGTCGCGTCACCCTTAGCGGCCCGTCGCGTCGCCCTTAGCGGCCCGGCACGCCAACCTTACGGTCGCGTCGCGCCGCCCTAACGGCCGCGTTGCGCCGCCCTAGCGGCCTCTCGCAGCCCCGATCAGCCGCCATTGCGGCCCTGATCCGCCGCCCTTTCACCAGCGGCCCCGTCGCCGCCCTTACAGCAGCCCGTCGCCACCCTTGCAGCGGCCCGATGCCGCCCTTCTCACGGCCCCGCCGTCCCGTTACACGGCCCCGCCGCCCTCACCTGCGGCCCGCCGCCCTTCCTGCGGCCCGTCGCCCTTACCAGCGGCCCCGCCGCCCTCAATTGCGGCACCGCCGCCCTCAACTGCGGCCCCGCCGCCCTTACCTGCGGCCCTGACGTCCTCAACTGCGGCCCCGCCGCCCTCAATTGCGGCCCCGCCGCCCCTCCCTGCGACCCCGCCGCTCTCACCTGCGGCCCCACCGCTCTCACCTGCGGCCCCGCCACTCTCACCTGCGGCCCCGCCGCTCTCACGTGCGGCCCCGGTGCTCTCATCGGCGGCCCCGCCGCTCTCACCTGCGGCCCCGCCGCTCTCACCTGCGGCCCCGCTGCTCTCACCGGCGGCCCCGCCGCTCTCACCTGCGGCCCCGCCGCTCTTATCTGCGACCCCGTCCCCTGCTGCAGCGCCGCCTGCCACCCGAGCTGCCCGACCCGCTTCACCCAGCCGAGCAGCCCACCGCCGCGCCGCCCTGCAGCAGCACCGCCGAGCCACCCGGGCAACCGAGCAACCGGACAGTCGAGCCGCCGAGCCACAGGTAAGGTGGCGGGGCCGCAGGTAAGGTGACGGGGCCGCAGGTAAGGCGGCGAAGCCGCAGGTAGGGTGGCGGGGCCGCTGGTAGGGTGGCACGGCTGCAGGTAAGGCGGCGGGGCCGCAGGTAGGGTGGCGGGGCCGCAGGTAAGGTGGCGGGGCCGCAGGTAAGGTGGCGGGGCCGCAGGTAAGGCGGCGAAGCCGCGGGTAAGGCGGCGGAGCCACGGGTAGGGTGGCGGGGCCGCAGGTAAGGCGGTGGAGCCGCGGGTAAGGTGGCGGGGCCGCAGCACAGAGCGGCGGGACCGTAGAGAAGGGCTGCGCAAGGGGCCGCGGAGGACGGCGACGGGCTGGTACGGGCAGCGACGGGCCGGGACGGGCGGCGCAAGGGCAGCGACGGGCCGCGTAGGGTGGCGACGGGCCGCTAAGGGCGGCGACGGGCCGCTAAGGGCGGCGACGGGCCGAGCAAGGGCGGCGCAAGGGAGGCCGCTAGGGGCGACTCGACGGGGCCGAAGGAGGCCTAGGAAGGGCACGATGCGGGCCTAAGCGAGGCGCGCTCCAGGCAGGAAAAAAAAACTTCGATTTTGGTGGGCCCTAAGAACAGTTCCCACGAGGGAACCTGCTCGATACCATGAGAAGAAACGAGAATGAATGAACTATGAATGAAGTGGGTACAAGTACTAACCCTAGTTGGGTTGTACCCCCTATGGGATACCCCACTACAGCCTACACAAATGTATAAGCTATATAATGTTCTGACAAGTAGTGTTGTAGCGGAAGTTTGAATTGTTATAGTCACAGTAGGCTTCAATGTGCCTAAAACGAAGGATAGAGTGCACAGTCGGATTTCTGCACAGCGGCTTTGAACGTTAATAGCGATCTGCTCACAACTCCAAATGACTTCATTCAACTTGGATTTAGAGCGCCTTAACGTTGCCTACAATAGGCAATTTAGATCGCACGATTTCATCAAGAATGGACGACACAGCGTTGGTTTGAACGAACGGCACTTTGCCGCCAGTATAGTCTTAGAACACACAATCAGAAGAGTTAGGAAGAATTACGAGTTGGGAAGGACTCCCAGCTCCTACAAACCCTGAGGTACAGTGATGTGGAACAGTGCCACACTGTCCCCAACCAAGAAGGGTCTCGAAACTACCCTCCACAAGGGTCTACACCAACAGAAATGTTACACTACACATTGTAATGTAACGAATCTTGATATCTTGAAGTGTACCCTTTTGGCGAGCTTCGAAATCACTTGAAGCTTGAAACCAAGGCTCGGGTTCTTCATCACAAACTCATCCTCGAGTTCTTGATGGGTCTGCTGCACACACCTGCGACACGCCGAACGTTCGACAAGCGACAAAATAGAAACCGCGCACGACAAAATAGAAACCGCGCGGGACACACAATGTCAGAATGTACTTGCTGTCTAGCCTGCAGTGGGGTACTCTGTAATGAGTATAGCCCAATTTAGGGTGTTGTACTTGTATCCCAACTCTTGCTAGTGAAACCCCTCATTCTCCTTTACAATTCTCTCGACACTCTCCTCACCCTCGAACTCAACTCTCTCGACACTCACTAGCTATGCCTCCTAAGTCACGCTAGGATTCTCACATGGTATCAGAGCAAGGTTCCTAGGACCTCACATTAATGGGCCCACCACCTACTGCCCTGCTAGCCTAGGCCCCGGCCCGTCACCCCTTGGCGTCGCCCCTAGGCTCGACCCCTTGGCCCCGTCGCCTCGGCCCCTTGGCCCCGTCGACTCCGCCGCCCCGCGCCCGGCCCGTACTTAGCCCGCAATCGGCCCGTACCTAGCCCGCGCTCGGCCCCGTTCCTAGCCCCGCGATCGGCCCGTACCTAGCCCGCGCCTGGCCCGTACCTAGCCCGCAATCGGCCCCGTTCCTAGGCCCGCGCCTGGCCCCGTAACAAACCCGCGATCGGCCCGTACCTAGCCTCGCGCCCGGCCCGTACCCAGCCCGCGCTCGGCCCCGCTCCTAGGCCCGCGCATGGCCCCGTAACTAGCCCGCGATCGGCCCGTACCTAGCCTCGCGCCCGGCCTCCGTTCCGCGCCCAACGCCCGGCCCCGTACCTCGCCCGCGCCTGGCCCCGTACCTAGCCCGCGCCCGGCCCGTACCAAGCCCGCGCCTGGCCCCGTCCTTCGCCCAGCGCCCGGCCCCGTCTCTTGCCCGCGCTCGGCCCAGTACCTGGCCCGCGCCCGGCCCCGTACCTAGCCCCGCGCCCGGCCCCATTCCGCGCCCAGTGCCCGGCCCCGTACCTGCCCAGCGCCCGGCCCAGTCCCTGCCCAACGCCTGGCCCCGTACCTACCCAGCGCCCGGCCCCGTTCCTGCCCAGCGCCCGGCCCCGTCCCTAACCATGGCCCCATCGCCCCTAGCCATGGCCTTGTCGCCCCTAGCCATGGCCCCTCGCGACCTGCCGCCCCTAACCGTGGTCCCGGTGCCCTGTTGCAACATGGTGGGTGAGGGGGTGGCAAGAGGGGGTTCTTCCTGCCCACGTGCCCTACAGTCGCACGCGCAGCTCCGCCCCCGCCCCCCTCCCCCCCCCTCCCCCCCCCTCCATGGGGATGGCGGGGAGAAGGGGGGGGAGCTTGGAGGTTTAGGGGGAGGCAGGAGGGGATCTGCAGCACCAGGTCCCCCACCCTTCTCCTACCTCCCCCTGCTGCGGGTGCCGCAGTGGGGGGGAAGGGATCTGCCATCCCCCTGCTGCGGATGCGGCAGTGGGGGGAGGGGACCTGCAGCACCTGCCCACCCCCGCCCCCCCTTCTCTTCCATCTCTCTGCTGCGGGTGCAGCAGTGGGGGGAGGGTATGGGGGTGGCGGGTGTGGCCATCCTGCTGTCGCCCGAGCGGCTTCTGCACCGCCCCCTTCTCCTACCTCCCCCCTGCTGCGGGTGCAGCAGTGGGGGGGGGAGGGGATCTGCAGCACCAGCCCCCCCCACCCCCCCCCCCCCCTTCTCCTATCTCCCCCTGCTGCGGATGCGGCAGAGGGGGGAGGGGGGGGGAGCTTGGAGGTTCAGAGGGAGGCAGGAGGGGATCTGCAGCACCAGCCCCCCCCCCCCCCCCCCACCTTTTCTCCTCCACCATTGCTGCGGGCGCAGCAGTGGGGGGGAGGGGATCTGCAGCAGCAGTGGGGGGAGGGGATTTGCAGCATCAGCACCCCCCCCCCCCTCCCTCTTTTCTCCTCTCTCTCTCCCTGCCGCACCCTGTGTTGGGAGGGGGGGGAGCTTGGAGGTTCAGAGGGAGGCAGGAGGGGATCTGCAGCACCAGCCCCCCCCCCCCCCCACTTCTCCTCCATCCCCCTGCTGCGTGTGCAGCAGTGGGGGGAAGGGGATCTGCAGCAGCAGTGGGGGGGAGGGGAGTTGCAGCATCAGCCCCCCCCACCCTCCAGCCCCCCCCCCCCCCACTTCTCCTCCATCCCCCTGCAGCGGTGGGGGGGAGGGGATCTGCTGCCCTGCGCGCCCCGCGCGCCCTGCAGCCCTGCTGCGCCCCGTGCGCCCTGCAGCCCTGCGCGCCCTGCTGTCCTGCTGCCCTGCGCGCCATGCGTGCACTGCAGCCCTGCATGCCCCGCGCGCCCTGCTGCCCTGCAGCCCCGCGCGCCCTGCTTCCCTGCAGCCCTGTGCGCCCTGCTGCCCTGCAGCCCTGTGCGCCCTGCTGCCCTGCTGCTGCCGCTACAGCCCTTGCTGTTGCCGCTACAGCCCTTGCTGCTGCCCTATGCGCCCTGTGCGCCCTGCTGCCCTGCTGCTGCCGCTACAGCCCTTGCTGTTGCCGCTACAGCCCTTGCTGCTGCCCTGTGCGCCCTGTGCGCCCTGCTGCCCTGCTGCTGCCGCTACAGCCCTTGCTGTTGCCGGTACAGCCCTTGTTGCTACTCTGCGCGCCCCGCGCGCCCTACAGCCCTGCGCGCCCGCGCGCCCTGCTGTCCTGCTGCCCTGCGCGCCCTGCGCGCACTGCAGCCCTGCGCGCCCTGTGCGCCCTGCTGCCCTGTGCGCCCTGTGCGCCCTGCTGCCCTGCTGCTGCCGCTACAGCCCTTGCTGCTGCCCTGCGCGCCCCGCGCGCCCTGCAGCCCTGCTGCGCCCCGTGCGCCCTGCGCGCCCTGCGCGCCCTGCTGTCCTGCTGCCCTGCGCGCCTTGCGTGCACTACAGCCCTGCATGCCCCACGCGCCCTGCTGCCCTGCAGCCCTGCAGCCCTGCTGCCCTGCTGCCCTGTGCGCCCTGCTGCCCTGTGCGCCCTGCTGCCCTGTTTGCCCTGTGCGCCTCGCGCGCCCTGCTGCCTTCAGCACACGCCATGCACAACCCCCCCCCCCCCCCTCCCTTCTCCTACCTCCCCCTGCTGCGGGTGCAGCAGTGGGGGGGAGGGGATCTACAGCACCAGCCCCCCCCCCCCCCCCCCCCCTTCTCCTCCATCCCCTGCTGCAGGTGCAGCAGTGGGGGGAGGGTATGGGGGTGGCGGGTGTGGGTGCAACTGCGGGGTGGCGGGTATGGGGGTGGCGGGTGTGTGAACCGTCCCCTCCTCCTCCTCCACCTTCGTCTCCCACTGCTGCAGCTGCCGCTGAGGGGGGTGGGTGTGTGGGAGCCGAGGGAGTGGTGCTAGGGGGGTGACGTGGGAGTGGAGCTAGGGGTGCAGCAAGGGGTGTGTGTAAAGGGGGTGGGACAGTTGGGGGAGGTTGAGCGGAGGCTACCGCCTTGTCGTCCGCAGCACCTGTAGTCCGGGGCTCTGCTTCTGGTAGCTCAGAGAGCCTGCTGCGCCTGTCGCCAGTGGGTCCGTTGCTCCTGCCGCATCAGAGTTAGCCGCAGAGCCAGTTACTCCTGTAGTCCGGGGCCCTTGCTCCGGTAGCCACAGTGCGCGCCGCTCCTGTTGCCCGTTTGTCTGCAGCATCAGCAGACGCCTCCTATCTCCTCTCCTCTCACAGTCCAGCCTCCTCCTCACTTGCCCTTTGTGTATGCCTCTAGCTTTGCTTGTACTTGTGAACTTGCTCTATGACTGTTTGCTCTGCTCATTATACCCCACTTTGACTATGGGGGTGTGTCAGAATGTATTTGCTGTCTAGCCTGCAGTGGGGTACTCTGTAATGAGTACAACCCAATTTAGGGTGTTGTACTTGTTGTCAGAATGCTATATAGCTTATACATTTGTGTAGGCTATAGTGAGGTATCCCATAGGGGGTACAACCCAATTAGGGTTAGTACTTGTACTCACTTCTTTCATGGTTTATTTCATTCTCGTTCTAATCTCCACATGGTATCGAGCAGGTTCCCCCGTGGGAACTGTGCCTAGGGCCCACCACATCGAGTTTTTTTTTTTTTCCTGCCCAAAGCGCGCTCAGCCCGAGTCGCGCTACGGGCTCTCACTTTGTCGAGCCGCCCTAGCGGCCCCAACCCCCTAGCGGCCCCATCGCCCTAGCGGTCCCGCCGCCCTTCGCTGCGGCCCCGCTGCCCTTCGCTGCGGCTTCGCCGCCCTTCACTGCGGCCCCGCCGCCCTTCGCTGCGGCTCCGCCGCCCTTTACTGCGGCCCCGCAGCCCGTCTCAGCGGCCCCGCCGCCCCCTGCTGCGGCCCTGCCGCCTCCCTGACAGCGGCCCTACCGCCGCCCTACTTGCGGCCCTACCGCCGCCCTACCTGCGGCCCACCCGCCGCCCGACCTGCGGCCCACCCGCCGCCCGACCTGCGGCCCACCTGCCGCCCTACCTGCGGCCCACTCGCCGCCCTACCTGCGGCCCTACCGCCGCCCTACCTGCGGCCCACCCACCGCCCGACCTGCGGCCCACCTGCCGCCCTACCTGCGGCCCACCCACCGCCCTATTCGCGGCCCGCCCGCCGCCCTACCTGCGGCCCTACCGCCGCCCTACCTACGGCCCTACCGCCGCCCTACCTGCGGCCCACCCACCGCCCTATCTGCGGCCCCCCTGCCGCCCTACCCGCGGCCCACCCGCCGCCCTTTCCTACGACCGCCGCGCCGCCCTGAACCAGCGCCGCCGAGCCGCCTAGCGGCAAAACCACCGAGCCGCCCGGCCGCCGAGTCGCCAAACCACCGAGCCGCCCAGCAGCCGAGCCGCCGAGCCGCCCAGCAGCCGAGCCACCTAGCACCCGAGCCGCCGAGCCGCCCAGCAGCCGAGCCGCCCAGCAGCCGAGCCGCCCAGCAGCCGAGCCGCTGAGCCGCTGAGCTGCCCTACTTCCGGACCGCCCGAACTGCCCCGTCTGGTGAGCACGGCGCCTTTTCCTGCACTGCCTCACCCTACTGTTTGCACTACTAGTCGTCTGTCGACATGGCTACCCCTAGTGTCCTAGCTTTTGACGCTGAGGGTCGGACCATTGACTTTGAGGTCTGGGTAGACGACCTGCAGCTGTTCTTACAGTGCGATAGGGCAGACGGCCTCTCTCTCTCTGACCTTACCTCTGGCGCTTCCCCTGCCCCTGCTGCTGATGCTGACGCCACTGTTCGCTCCCAGTGGACCATGCGCGACGCTGCTGCACGTCTAGCTGTGCGTCGCCACCTTCCTACCTCCGAGCGTGCGCACTTTAGTCAGTACAAGAGGGCTCAGACCTTGTACGACGCTGTAGTCGCGCGCTACTCCTCCCCTGCCACTGCTGCACTGAGCCGTCTCATGCTACCGTACCTCTTCACTGACCTTGCTGCCTTTCCCACCGTAGCTGACCTCATTACGCACCTCCGCACTAGTGGCACTCGCTACCGCGCTGCACTTCTTGCTGACTTCTGTGCCACGAACCCCCCCCCCCATGTACATCACTCTGTACTTCCTAGTCACTCGCCTTCCTGACTCCCTTCCAGTAGTCAGGGACCACTTTCTCTCAGTCTTTCCCACCACACTCACTGTCGACCTCCTCGAGAAGGCCCTCCTCGCGATAGAGAAGAGCATAGTCGCTGTAGGAGCCTCTCGAGGTGACCCGCGCACCCCCATCTTTGAGGGGTGTTCCCCCTCCCCCCTGCTGCCCTCTATTGCCTCTGCTGCTGCGGCCGACCTCCTTGGTCTTGAGTCGGTCGGTGCGGCGTCTACCCCTAGCGGGAGACGCCGCCCTGGCAAGGGCAAGGGGGGCAAGGGAGCTGGAGGAGCGGGCGGTGGAGGTGGAGGTGGAGGCGGTGGGGGGAGTGGGGGTGGCGATGGGAGTGGAGGTGGGGGTGGTGGGGTCGGTGGCGGCAGTGGAGGCGGAGGCGGCGGCGGCGGTGGCGGTGGGAGCGGAGGTGGCGGAGGAGGCAGCGGTGGAGGCGGCGGCGGAGGCGGCA